CTTCCCTGCACTGGGCAGCAATGATGATGGGGAGCTCCTGGTGCAGTGTGCAGACGGCACAGTAAAACGCACTTTGGGAAACACAACCTTGCCCAGCACCTGGCACAAGTTGGAGTGGCCAAAGGCCACAAGGGCACATCAGAGCCACTCCACAGGACAAGAAGGGCTCTTGCCTCACCTCCTGAGTACACGATGCCATGCTGCAGTGGGCCAGTGTAGGTTCCAATCTTCAGCTTCCCGGTCACCTGAGGAAGGAGATATTGCATTAATATAGAAGAGCTGATGCTCTGGATCTTTTCTGTCCTGGTGATACTGTATTTTTGTTTCTCTCTCACTCCCAGGCAGCCTGGAGGTGGCTTTCCACATTCTTTTCCTATTGCCATCTGCAGGATGTTAGGGAAACCAGAAAAGCCTCGAGCTCTGCTGTTCCCCAGGCTACTCAGGAATCACTAAGAGGAGAATCCACCCCACCATCTCTAGGGTAGGTCCTGTCTAAACACTGTGTTGCCCATTGCTGCTAAGAGACACCACAAAGGAGGTGCAAGAGCCTTTCCAGCTGCAGAGGTAGCCTCCAGGTGCCACTCACCGTGTCCACCTGCCGCAACACGGTTCCCTCTCCAAAGAAGAGGGGCTTTCGCGCATCCACCAGGATCAGGTCGAAGTAGGACTGCCATGGCCGATGGGCACTCCCAGGCTGCAAAAACAAACCCCAGAATCAGGCATAACACAGTCAACCACACTGTCCCACAAGGGACATACAAGTGTCACCATCCATAGGCACAACCTTGTGACACTGCTGGTCCATCAAAAGCGCTAGCCCGTGACTCTTGTGGTATGATGCTGAGTTGCCAGCGTCATCTCCTAAAGCACCCCCCTTTCACAGCAAGCCCAGCCCAGCCCAGCCTAGCAGCGAGGACATGGTGTGAGACAGGAGAACCGCACTGAACATCCATGTCACAGCACATCTGTCATGTAAAGGAGATGCTGTAAACGACACTGCTGCCACTGTTTCTGCAGGTGACATCCCACATAGATCAGGACACGTGCGACTTCATGACTTCAGCCTTACAAGGCTGCACTGGTACATTTGCCAGGAACGGGAAAATGCCTGGACTCTGTTCCACAGAGCACAGCTCCAGATCACAGCCCTGCCTGAAGGACACCAGGCGTTCATGACCCCTTCCCATTCCGCTCTTGCTGAGATCAAGACCACAGCAAGAAGTTTTTTGAGCCATCAGTTCTGGTAATTTTCCAGCTTCTGAAAATTTCTCCCTAAGCCGGCTTCTACCTTTAGAGCACAGTGTGAAAACACATCTTTTGAGTGTGAGATAGCCTCCCACAGGGAGATAGAGAAAGCAGTATAAATTCAGCTCATAAGCCTATCTCCAAAAGTTGCAGGCTGAGTTTTGACCTCAGGAAACCACAAAAGGCATGACTAAAACTTTTGGAGTTACCACAGTCAAGGCACAAACAGCCCCATAAATGTTTCTGCTGTTTTAGAAAACTCCTTCATTTCCATCAACCTTTTTTTTTTAACAACATCTAAAACATTGTGCAAGATTTCTAAGAAACCTGGCTGTAATTTACCACAGTTAAAATGTGTTATCACTAAAATAATGTTATCATTAACACAGATTATCATTTGAGACCAGATGATACTTCTTTTCTCTTTGTTATACTGTATTTGCTTTGATCCCATTCAAATAGGACATGAAACAGCAAGTGCATTTTAACCAGATTAAACCAACTAATCCCATGCAGCCAACGAAGCGGGATTAAAGTGCTTTCCAGCTACACAGATAATTAGGCACATCAATTCCTATTGGAACTGCAGTCTAGAAATCACATACCTTTGGTCCGTGTGGAAAGTCAAACAAGTAAGTCATAATTTTCTGAAAGACAGAAAGAAAGTATTCAAAGATGTGTTTTTAAACAAACATTTATGTAGTTTATATAAAAGCGTGTTTTTCTGCTTCTATCTTTTCCAGTTACAGAACTTTATTTCAGGATTTACAGGAAAGCCAGCATAAGATATGGAGACAAAATGAATGGAATTTACAGTGACACGAATTTAAGCAGTAATATTTATAATCAAAAAACACATACGCCTCAGGAATCTGCAAACTGCTTCAGGTATATCTTGCAATACTTTAAAATGGCACATAAATTAGCAGTGTTGCAACATCCTGACATTTACCTGGCATTGAAGCAACCACATTTATTCCTGCAGTACAGCAGAGAGCCCTTTCTGGCTCTAGACCTCTCCAGGACCAGGGCCTTGGTGACCTGTCTGTAGTGAGAATTACCTCACTTGAAAGGGAAGTTCTGCTTTTTAAAAGATGCTGAAATCTAAAATGAGTATCACTTTCAGCCTTTTAATTGCTGAGGAACTGAGTGAGGCTCAGAGGGACTTAAGCCAGGCCCATACTAGGTCAGTAGCAGAACCAGGACTATAAAAGACTCAAGACCTAATCTGCATTCACCACTAAACTCTCCCACATCTGTCTTAGAAAACACCCGATTCTCCATCACGTGTCCTGCCAAAACCCATACAAATGAAAGACTGGCTTTTGCTTATTCCATTATATACCAACACAGCAATTCAAGCAGCACTTACATCTGTGTATTTATAGTCACTGTTTGTGACGAGGAACACCTTCCCAACCTCATTCATGCGGCTGAGCAGCAGTGGCAGCTTCCCCTGAAAGCCAAGGGACATACAAGTCACACAAAAAAGTTAAAGAGATTCATCATGGACAAAACACTCTCAACTATGATCTCACGAGTCAAAACAAAGCAAATCAAACTAACAAAGAAGAAAACCCACATATTTTGCACTGGCCAGAGCCAGGAAAACTCCTGCTCCCTTCCACGTAACAGCCCTCCGGGAAGGCAAGGGGAAGGGCTTGGCAGGGCTGTGAGCCTTTGCCAACCTCAGTGCCAAGACCCTGTGCTGCTCCCACTGATCTGCTCTGTGCCAGGGACACTGGAGCAGCTCCTCCAGCTCCAAGCCTGTTCCCGAAATGGGCCCAGAAGCAGGTGAAATGTGAGCTCACACAAACCACAAGTTGGAGCGTATTATAATTCCAACCTCAAATTAGGGTGAATTTATTCCTGGGGCTATTTTTACTGGATCATAAATCTCAGTCCATTGCCAAAGTAGCTGATTACCTCACAGGACAGTTTCCTAAGAATTTTGCAAGCATGTAACTAGAAACAAGGTTAACTGCTTTAAAGTGATACTCTACCACAGAGTTCATCAGAATAATTACACCAGAAGTGGTCCAGAAGGGCCTTGCACACTGCAGAGAGGGCAAACACAAGGGAACCACTGGAGCTTGCTCAATTAGATGTGCTGAACACACACTTCAGGGCTATCAAGAGATTGGACATTGGTGAGTCTTTCAGGATCTTTCCCTCAGTCCCTCATGGTTAAATGCATGTGACATTTTTGTTGGATGGCTAAAGAATACTTCTGTCTAAGAAGATGCTCGCCTGTTACTTTTTAAAAAACGGTCTGCTTGGGCAGAGAAATCATGGGCAGGGAACACAGCTGCTTTCACCACCAAAGAAATAACACGTGCCTTGCCAGCATATTCACCTGTGTCCCGTGACAGCATTTCCTCTGGGTTTTACATTTTACGTAAAAAACGTGCACGTGAATACGAAATCACGTGGATCACTGGCTCAGAATAAAGGCTACATCCGAACTTTCCACTTTGTCTTTGGTTATTACAATAGAAATCACAGCGTTATCTGTTTTGTGATTTAGTAAAGCAAATCAGCATGTTTATTTCTTGCCTGCTCACTCAGTACAGAATGTCACGTAGCACAAGTAAAGCAACTTCACACTTACATCTTTCACCACGTACTTTTCCAGATTCTCAAGGGTCTTCTCCTTGAGTGATCCCTAAAACAGAAACAACAGAAGCCAGTGAGGTAATGGAAACTTATGATGTAAGAGACATCAAAGTAATGCCAACTTTCACACTTTAAAATGCTGTGAAAGTACAAACCAGGGCGAATCTGAACCCGTGACTCTAGAGATGAGAGGCTTTGAGTAGCAGGGAGCATCACAAACTCTGTGATCCATCGATTCCCTCACCATGGTAAATAATCCACTTCAACAGCATTTTAACCCTTTCAGAAGGGAATACAATAGAAACAAACAAAAAACAGATTTGCCATACCAAACAAGACAGTCAACGACCTGTCTCCAACACTGACCATAATGCTTTACTTAAAGGCCAACTCCAATATGTATCACACAACACTGCATAAGGAAAGAAAAACAGATTCCTGACTTCTGCATGGCTAATAGGACCATAACAGCATAACTGTGAGCAGAGCTCTCTTGTGATGGTTCTCCATCCCACCCCAACAGACCTTTTGAATAAAGAAGAACAAGAAAATCAGGTCTTTAAACAGATGTTAATGCTCACAAAATTATATTCTAAATTTGTGCACAAGTGTGTGAAAAAGATGAACTGCCCCTCTTCTCTAAACAGAGAAGAGTTGATGTATTTCTCTACTTAATGCAGGTACCTTTCAGACAAAATAAGGTAGTACCAATGTAAACTATTTACAGTAAAATGCTGTTTTAATAATTAGGACAACATACAAGTTGTGGACCGTAAGCGCAAACACCCTCATGGCATCATGTTCTAAAACCCATGAATTACAGTACAGAAATGGAATCTGGGCACAATAAAAAGGAACAGGAAGCCAAGACAGGTATGTTCCCGTACTAGGAGGGCAGTAAAGATCTTGACTTACTCACACACGGCTGTAATTTACTATTTGCTCACTAGGCGGCCAAGGAGGGCTCTTGCCCAAAAGTGGAATAACACCTCTTAACTCATGAGTTACAAACCAGTCCCTCTAACTCAGCTACAACCACAGACGTCCCAAGAAGTTTTTGCAATCACCTTGTAATGAACCCAGTCAACAGCGTCTCTGACATCCTGGAACATACTCCTGAAGGACATGAAGAGGTCTCCATCTTTAAACCCTGTTTCACAGCTGTGAGGAGAAAGAAAAGAGATTGTAGTGGCCAAACACAAGAGGTAAGAAACACATCAAGGAGGCAGATGGTTCAAAATGGGAGTCTGTGTTTTCATCTTACCATCATGGTTTCTTATTTACTACTTTACTCTAGCTCACACTTGAAAGAAGGCTACAACCAGAGTTTAACAAAATTTGCGTGTTACCCAAGAACATTCGTTGAAAATTTTAGGATGTGAGTTTCTAACTACAGGCCTGTGCCTCCATAGCAGTACTGCAGCTTTCTGTGACTGCAACTCTTAGTTCTTCCCCACAGTACTGCAAGAAGGAAAAAAGACTGGGACTGTGCAGTTTGCAGCATTTTGCAAAAGATGAATGGTACTGAGAAAGTAAGCAGAGTGCTGCTCTTTCTCCCTCCTTCCAACACTACAGAATGGGGTGCCATGGAAATCAACTAAACGTAACACTCGCTGCTGAGAGGAGGAACTATTTCTGTGTTGAATAGTTAACATGAGAAATTTCCTCTGCAAGATACTGCTGAGGTATCTTTGAGACACCCATGAGAGTTTGCACCAGAAGAAATCACGGAGGATTAAACAGAGCTGTATTTATTATGACAGCAATCATCATGCCTGTCCTGAGAAAGGATACTTCACCTGATGGACTTTCAGCATAAACAGTTCCTCTGCTTCCAGGTAAAATCCCATTAAACCTTTGCCTTCCACTCACATAATACACAAAGATCACCCATCACATGAATCAGCAGCATTCACATCTGCCAGTTCAAACCGCAGCTTGTTTTTATGCTTATACCTATTTGAAAGCTAGGTAAATACGCATGCTGCACAAACAGCCTTTTACACCACACCGTGCCCAAGTATTTCACCTTTAAGTGAACAAAGTCCTCAGTTATGACATGAGGGACTTGTGGTAACTGGCTGAGGAAATTTAGTCTTCCAGTTACCAGTTCAAATGTGGCTCCAATGGACATGGGTTCAAAACGCGCTGTCTGGTGCCTGGAATCGCCCTGTAACAAGTGCATGGTCTCGGAAGCTGGCCCAAATAGCAGTGTCAGCCAGTGTATTGATATTGATATACCCTGTGAAGGAAATCCTCATGAGCAGGCTCTGCTATACACACAGGTCATCTCATCATCACTAAATTCTTTAAACAACAAAAGAGGCCTCGACTTATCTCCACCAAAACCACTTGAGGGGCCCCCACTGATATTAAGAACAGCTCCATCTGTGCTGCATTGCTCTTTATGTAAACAATCTTATTGTACTACCAGCGCCTCGAGCCGGAGGGAATACGTACCTCGTGTACCGGTCACAGTTAGTAAAGAAATCCACTAGGCAAGCCAATAGGTAGGTCTCTGCAAAGAAACAAAGCAAGATTTTAAAACAAGGATAACAACATACAGCCAGCTAACTTTAGGCCCTGTGCCTCAAAGAAGAAAGTTCATGCAAAAAAAACCCTCAACAGATAAGAGTAAGACATTAGCAAAGCTTTACTGACTTCAGAGGGACAGAAACAGGCCTGTGTTGGCTGACATTAGACTCACCTGGTAAATTGAATAACGTGTTCAGAATGTAAAACCTATCTGTGTCATCCCTCTGGATAAATTTATTTGGATATTGATCTCGTGTTTCAGGCCTGGGAATAGATAAGGTGAAGAAGAATGAAACCACAAAAAATAATGAGTATAAAATGTGCTGACCTGCAAAATATGGGTGTAGCAGGGTCCATTAACTAGAGTCTGCTGTGCTTTAGTCAACCCCCAGCTTTCTCATGTGCACAAGAGCAAAACTGCATCCACTGGCGTTTCCTTCCCCACGCAGGCTCTAGCAGAGCTGGGCACAAAGCCCTCATCGCTGAGTCAGCAAACTGAGCAGAACCCACACAGGGAAACGGAGTGGTCTAGAGTCCACAGCTCGACCTTAAACCCTATCCTGCTGGCGATGAGGATGCCTTAAATAATCTGCACTTTCATTGTTTGCTTATCTTAAACTTTCCCCCACTTTCCATGTGTTGCTTTGCACTCCCTTGAGCAGCTTTCAGCAGGGGAGTGCACTGATGTGCGGCGGGAGGCTTGCCTAGGGCTCTCTGCAATTAATCAGCAGGGTGGCGATGACTGAACTCATTTAATTATTCTGGTTTCCTTCGTTTCTGGAGCTTCTGAAGATCACCCCTGACTCAAAGAGGAACTTGGGTGCATATACAAGGGCTTTTTCTAAATTTTGGCTTCCTCATACAAGGACTCACAAGCACTACAACGACAAGGCTTGTCACCTTGGAGGCCCTGGGCTTGACTTCCATCCATCCACCCTTGCAGCAGAGATATGCAGGGATTTGCTGGGACACATCAGACCCATAGCACTGCGATCCCCTCTGCTTTCTAAAGCACCTTCTCTGGGGTAAGAGAAACACAAGCAGCCTGAGAAGGCTGCAGGAAGCACACACGATGCCTCACTTCTGACACCCTCAAAGGCCAGAGACACAAAGGGGTAAAGCCAGCTTGTTCCTTTCCCAAAACAGCTCAGGCTCTCGACCTTTCTTAGTGATGGTTGTGGAGTCAATGGTCTCATGGGGCACAGGTCCTCTCTGTTCCCAGGAGACCTCACACAATGGCTTTGTCTTACCTGGCACTGATGTTAAATTGTGCCAGGGCAGGTGAACAGCCCCTAAATTATCTCATCAACCCCTTCCCACAGCATATTTTCTTCTATTCCCAGCACACTACAGATGCGCCTGTGCTGGCATGGATCTTTCTTCTATAAACACTCTGGGCTGTTGCTGTATCTGGGACCCTCAATGCACCCCCAGTCAGTCCTGGCACTGTAGGAACACCAATATATCTGCTGTCAGCAGAGTCCCCACCACTCCTTACACAATGGGTGCCCTGAGGATCAGTGACACCAAAGGGCATATTAAGTCAAAAAGAAGAGTCAAGAGTCAGCACTCACCCTCTGAGGAAATTAAAGCCATGTGCACACACCAGGAGGTTCCCATAGGCATCAACTTTCAACAGGTTTCCATAGTGGGTATCAAACACCAGGCCTCTGTTAAGAAAGCAATTTAAGATATGAAGAAGCAAGTGTGTTAAGCAGTGACCATTTTAATAGCATTTGTTTCTGAATCAGCTCTAGGACAGCTTGCTCCCTTGCCAACGGGCATCAGAACAGGGTTGGTGTTATTATGCAGATGGAGTCCTTGCTGTCCCTTTTACCTGGCTGCAGGTGAGCATCAAGAGCCCTGCGCTGCCAGGTGAAAGGCACAGTTGATCTGCTCTGCACAGACCGGAAAATGGAACTGTTTAACCAGGCAGAGGCTCAGCTATGTGTGTACCAGGGGAGACGTGAACCTCTTCCACAGGGTCACGAATCTGACACCTGTGTTCGTGGTTCCTTAACAGCCCTGCTGGGCTGCAAGGAAGAGTGACGTATGATGAAAGAATTTCTCCTCTCTTTTTCATCGCTCTGTCACAGGCAGAGCCACATGGGGCATTTATAACTATAGCACAAAATGCTTTGGACAGCCCAGGTTCCAACTCCAGCAAAACTCCGTCTCACTTATCTACTAGTGTGCATGTGGAGAATGCAACCGTCCCCCAGAGACACCCTTTCTGTCCCTTCCCTGGGATGAAGGCAGTGGATTTAATGGAGTCTTCATCACAGGTCTGTGAAGGGCTGCTCTCTTGTTAAAGGCACCCAGCAACAGTCCTGGTGTAAAACATGCTGAGAGGAGGGCAAGGAGGAGGTTGCCAGGCTGAAAACTGGAGCAACAAGCCAACAGACCCTCTGGTCCAGTCTCTTGTAAAGAAGTTCCAAAGGAGCCAAAAAAGCAAAATCCAGTAAAGGCACAAGTGGAAACAACTTCAAGGTGCAGAGTTAGATCAAAAGCCTTGTTTAAAACAAGCAATGTCCTTTTTACCTCTGCTATCAAAAGACAAAATGTAAGCATTTAGTAATCTTGCACCGTTAACTTTGCTTTTGGCATTTAGTTCGACTGGACAAGCGAACTGGACTGGTCCCATTTTTATTGTTGCTTCCTGTCAGCTTAATTTTCAGGATGCCTTATGCACCAGGACACCATTAATTAAACTCATTGAATTAAAATGCTCTGAGACATTCTAGCAGCCTCATGGACAGTAACAGCTCCTCCTCTCCTTGATTTTGATTTAACTTCCAATCCACTTGTGTCTCTGCTGTCTTTGCTCCCAAGGGTTATTTTTGGACCATGTTTTCAGCAGGCCTTTTTTCCCACATTCTCCTTCTTTGCTGGCATGGACTCATGTGTGCAAAGGCCCTCCACATACCGGAGCAGTTTGCTCCCTTCCCCATAATCTGTGGACAACCACACGCTTCACAGGCACAACTCTCAAAACCTGGCCTCACGTGTTTTCCTACGAACTTTACAGCACAAATATTCAAGGCCTCGAGCAGGTTGGGTTGGTATCTGTTAGTCATTTACCTGGTAGGGAATGCAGGATCATACACAAAATTGAGCAGCTCATGAGGGTATCCAATGGAAACTAATCTTTCTACGGTCAGGTCAAATCCAAGAGATTCGTATTCAGGGGATTTATACACTGTGCCAAGATGAGATTTCAGTTAGAAAATCTGAAAACAGCTAGGGGGTTAAACAAGAAGGCAGTTAAAAGTACTGTACCCACTCGCCCTCCTCCCTCCTCCACATCACACACTCCCTCCTGCGCTACCTCAGTTTCCCGGCCCGGAGGCGTGGTGGAATTGGCTCAGGCTCCAGGGCTGCAGCAGAGAGGAGCAGCAGTTCAGGCTGCAGCAGCAGATGAAATAGTTGCCAGTCTATCACAGCTCTCCACAGCAGGAAAAATGTATTTTAAACCGCAGCTCCTCTCCCTGCAGTCCCCTTAGGCAGATGCATGAACGCTCCCTGTTCCACCTGCTCAGATCACATTTTGATTTGCTGTGTCTTCACAAACCAATAAATTTTGGGAGCACAGGTACTCATGGCTAGAAAGCCTGAAATTCATCGCTGCTGTGCTACTGTTACTGCTCTGGATACAATCCCAAAGCTTAGTATTGTCTCCAGATTTCATTTCAGGGGAATTTATGTTTGCTGCAGACTGAGTTAGCTTGAAGGTAGAGCTGTCAAGTTAACATACGATTTGTTTGTTAATAATACCATATGGTACTGTAGAAATCTGTTAGCTATTACCCTTGTGCGTCAAAAATGCTACTCTTTAAGCAAGCTTGCTGTTCTCACATTTCAGAGGAGCTGCTCGTCTGTGACACACCTTAGCTCAGCGCACAAGAAACAGACTTGTTCAACCAAGTCGCTCCTACCATCAGGCCTGTCGTCTTCCTGCAGATGACCTTCCCATGTACTGGAAATGTTACTGCTTAATCAGATCATTAAATTAACATTTACAAGACTGTGTTTCTACAACAGATGGAAATCACTGTGTTTCTCTGGCAATGTGTTTACATTTGCTGCCTGTCGCTGTCTTAAATTGGTCTAAGATATAACAAGGTGAAAGACAACCCTTGACTGCAATGAGGGTTGCCATGGGTTCAATGGGCCCAACTGTCTCAAACACTTGAGTATTTCAAATTTAGCTGAGTAAAATACAAAAGTGTGCAAGTTACACACCGAACTCGATAGAAGACAGACTGCTTTCCCTGAAAGAGGCCTAGCACATCTGAGCAACTCACAATACATATTAACACACATTGTCTGTACTGTCCAGGTAATCAACACCATATATACACTGTAGAATACAGAAGCTCAATCTGAGAGGAGAAAACAAATACATGAAATATTACAAAAATACAAAAAAAGGCAAGGACTCTAGAAGAAATGAAACTGTCAAAGGACTGAGATCATAGTAACTCTGACAGAGGGTTTCCATATCTCTCAATAATCTAAAAAGCACAAGAATCCTAAGAGTTCATTTTCCCCATGAAATTAACACCATTAAAAATGTCATAAGCAAACTAATCTTCTTGAACAGATAACTAAAATCAGTAAGATATTTATCAAAATCTGCAAGCGTTATTATACCAGTGACAAACATCAACAACATGATACAACATTCAATGCACGTAGTCTTTTCTGTCCTTCAGGAAAGGAAGGGTTGATTGAGCTATAGATAGGACTAAGCAATCAAGAACTACAGCTAATGAAGAAAGCAGTGACTGACAAGGCAATTCTGGGGAGTGAGCTGGAGCTGGAGGGAGCAAAAAGCAGTTAGGTGATGGAAAACATTGTGAGTGACACCAGAGCACCAACTGGAAAAGGGAATCCCTCTGATGCAGGACAGTAAAGGCACTTCACAGGGAAAACACCAGTAAAGACACCTGCACGTAACTCTCAGAAGGTGAAAGTGCTGCAAAGCTCCCCATGATGTGAAGCAGCCTCCAGTCCCCCACACTGTCCATGAAGCTGAGTTCTCCGCCTCATGAGCTTCCTGAGAATTTGACCGTGTTAACAACTTATCCATAAACCATCACTCAAACAAAGCATTTCTCCAAAGAAACCCTGCTCTTTCTGAACTCACCAACCATGGTGGTGCTGTCCAGACACAAGGAGCACACAGGCATCTCCCCTGGACAAGCAGAAGTGGTGCATCAACAGCTCCTGCAGAACCTTTCTAGGGAAACCGTACGGCTTTCTGTGCATCTCATCAATGCTCCACCAGGAAAAGGTTGTGGTGGGACCTGTGGCCAGCTGCTCACAACATGCCCCCACTCAGTTTCTTCCTTTCTGTATCTGTGTCTCTGTTTTAGATGTATCAGTACAGACCTCCTTTTAACTCTCAGTCTAAGGAAACAAACTGACGCATCGGTAGAAAAAAGGCTGAAGAACAGATATCAACCTCAGCCTTCATCATCTCAAGCCTCTGCTGAGGCAGTACTGCCACAGGGTTCATCTGAATGTTTCTTTTTGGGGGTAGTTATTCCTTTTACCTTTCAAGCTCCAGATTTTGCTTCCTTGGCTTCTCTTTGAATAAAACTAAACTACTAACTCATTCATGCCTCTGGTCCCTTCCCTGTTTTTCCACCACTCCATCTGGAAAAAGAGCCTTCTCCTTGATACATGACCGAAACAGACACCAGAAACTGAACTCCTGGAAATGGGAAAGGGACAATAAACATCCTCCAGTTACAGTCATACTTACTGCTAAAGATAAACTTTCCTTTAGTCAGAAACACAGTTGGGAGCAGCCTAAGAGCTCACCAAGCCCACCCTGACAACAGCTTACACCACAGCAGGGGCTGCATCAATCTGTACGAGCCACAACTCACCGACGTCTCTCGTAAGCTGTGCAAGTGTCTGTTTCAGCGCCATGAGCTTCCGGGCAAACAAAGGATCCACTTCCTTCAGATCAAGTATGAACAGGCTAACACTGCCACAACTACAGCAGCACGTTTGGGGAAGATGCCCCAGTTATACAAATCACTAGGTTAAGAAAATTATTTCAATGTTGTACTTGGGGTTGGTTGCTCTCTCTCGTAGCTTGTTTACCTCAGGCATCCATGGCGAAAAAAAGAGTAGAGAGGACACATCAATATTTTTTTCTGCAGCTGCATCATGAAAACGTAAGTTTAAAACTTTTCTGGAACATCCTCCTTCCTCAGACCTGGTTGCTGACACCACAATGGAGATAATTTGCGTGCCATGGCAATGCCATGAATTCCACTATTTGCCATGCAGTGTCTCCTGTGCTCAGCTCCTTCACCCAGCTGAGAGGGCTCAGTGTCCCAGCACCCCCAGCCTTGAGACAGGTGAGGAGGCAGAACCACAAACCCATTTTCAGAGCATCCTTGCCCAACACACATGGGATGACAGTAAGACCAAAGCACAATTTACATCTTATTCTGATTTCTTTTTCTCTTTCTTACTACCTGGTGGCTGTGTCCCTGCCCCTGTGCCAAGTCCCCGGTGGCAAAGGACCATGTTATTTCAACAGTCTGTGTCCCAACACAGGCAAATGCTTCAGCGGCGCAGGGCAATCAGCACCCAGCGCTCATGGATTATGCAACCAGGGTGGAAAGAAAACAATCAAAGCTTTAAAAAAAACCCAGAAGCCAGTTGACAGCATTTCAGCCTCCTCTTAATACAATCATTTGGCTTAATATTATACTACTGAAGGGTAAAAAGCTGTACCCCGAGAGTGAACATTGCAAGCCTTCAGGTCTGTGATGAGTGCACGGTACGTGCTAGGAGGGAAGCTGGTCTGGAATGAGCAAGGACTGTGCAGTAAGGTATGCAATTCCCATGCATTTGTGTGGCTGTTTTTACCTTTGTCGCCAAGATACATACAGTAACAATTTTATAGCCTTCCTGAAAAGGACAAAAAAAAAAAAAGGAAAAAAAAAGGTCTCTACAGAGGCTCCAGCTTATGCAAAATGCTGCTGCCAGGATTTTAACTCACATGAGGCAGATGCAGATTCAGAGTGTCACTCCAGTCTTGACGGAGTTACACTGGGCTCCCCTGTTAAAGAAAAAAATCAGACTGATTTTAAAACTGCAACAGCTCTGTGCCATGCGGGGCTGCGTCTGCTGGAGCTCTGTCGCCTGGTAAGCTCAGAAGCCAGTCTGGCATCTATTCCAAATACACTCGTAACCGATTTACAAAGGAGGCACATTTGTTAATCGTGCATCCTGCAGGCAAAATTCTGTCCTCATATCCACAAAGCAGTCTTAGAACATCAGCTCAGTCGTAATTAGGAGGAAGAGGCTACAAGTGCATTGCCCAAGTGACACAAACCCTTAAATTTCTCTCAGACGCAGAGCAACTGGTTCAAGACCGGGTCTCGTGCTCTTTTTGGGGCTTTGCCATCATTGTCCATTCCTCAGCCGGTGACAGATTACTCCTTTCAGGGCACTCACTTTCCTTCACCGCACAAAACGCTTGCACGTGTCAGCACAGGAGACTGGGAAGGCTGAGTCAGGAGCTACTTCGGGAATCTGAGAAGAGAATTTTGCCCTGCATCTGAAGGTGCCCCCAGTGAGAGCCTCACACACTGGGTCAGCCTGACGTAGCATGTCTAAAATAAATTCTATGCTTTAACGCTTATGCTTGGGCTTTTATGTGCAAAGCACTGCAGGATAAACCGGTACCAATCCTGCACGTAGTGCTGCACCGTACTGCAGAGCACCGGTCTGGAGGCACACACAGTAAGACCAGACCTCCTCTGCAACCTACAGGTATTCACAGAGTGACCAGGAATAACTCTGAGATTCAATTTGCACTGAATACAAAGCTGACTGAGCTGGAACGATGTTGCCAAAGGGACTGACAGAAGTATTCAGACCTCATGGAAGGTTTATCTGAAAGTAAGTGTTTAAAGCCTGTTTTGTTTTGATATGCATAGCTGGGGAGGCTGTAGTGCACATGATGGCTCTGTTTAAGCTGTGAGGAAGAGAAAGTCCTCCAAAGGTTGCCCATTTCTTTCCTTGTTCCTCCTCCCCATACACAAAGATTTCAAATTCAGGCAGGACAGCTTCTCATTGAAGATGCAACATGGTTTCTTACAGAGCTTGTCAATACTTCTTACAACCTTGTTAGGGATGATAGGAGAGAAGCAGGAGACAAAGGTACAG